GGTCAAGAAGGTCTTCAGAGCTGCGCAGGCCATTTCATAGAGGGGCCTGGTCTACGGTGGCTCTAGACGTGCCTAAACCATCCTAGATTCCTAGACCATCTGCATGGACACCCACTCTCTACCAGGAAGGTCTCTAGAGGATTCTAGAGGAGCCCAAAGGTACACAGGCCATTTTATAGAGGGGTCCCCGTCGCAGCCTTTGGGGTCAAGAAGGTCTTCAGAAGAGCTGCGCAGGCCATTTCATAGAGGGGCCTGGTCTACGGTGGCTCTGGGAAAGTCTAGGAAAAGCTACGAGATGCTAAGAGAGCATGCCTAGACATGCCTAGACCATCTCCTACATCTCCTACACCGCTCTTCCTGACTCTAGCTTTCCCTGTTACATCCTGTTACAATTCTGTATCGTGCATTGTTGGAAAGCAAACCGTAGAACGAAAAAAAGCTTGTGTTTCGAAGCCCAACCTCTTGCTGAAATCGTGGAACCCCTCACATTCCCTGAACATGCGGCCTGGCGTGCACGTTCTGCACAAAAGGCCATGTGATGCGCAACTCTGCAAGGTACTTCTTCGTCTCCAAGAGGGCTTGCTCTTCCTGACTCAGTATTTTCCGCTTGCACGCACGTGTGCGACGCTTCGGAGCCACCGGCTCCGGAGCATCATCCACGATGAGCTGATCCTCTTCTTGGGGCTTCAGGTCTAGAAGAGCTTGTGCCTCTGTCCAGGCTTGGCACACAGCAGGGTTCGGCACCGGATTCTCCCGCCTGAAGACACCTCTGCCCACACCCACGGTTTTCACAGCGTGAACTGGAGTTGAGGCGTCCACATCCAGCATTGGCAGTGGTGTCTTCCTAGGCGGTGTGCTGGGCGGCGTGCTTAGATCAATCATCACGGCCTGAGGCTGGTCGAACGTGTCCACTAGCGTTGCAAAAATGGAGCGCCAGGCAGCCATGTGGGATGCATCCAGCCAAGATTCGGCCAGACGTGCCCGCAGCTTTTCTTGATCCTGTTGGGTAGGATGGACGTTGGGCGTGCCACTCTCAAGCGCATGTAGCGCCCATAGCCCGCAGTTGCCATCGGCCCAGACCTGGAATGCGCAGTAACCCATCACTGCCAGCCGGTTCTGCAACGCGCGGAAGTTGCTAAGCCTCACAGGGAGACTACAGGGAAAGTGAAAAGATATGAAAAGATATCGAAAAAGATCTGAAATGGATGGACAAGTATGCAGCTATTCACGCAACAACGAAAACGCCGACATGAAAGCATAAAAGACTTGACTACAGAAGCTACCCAAGCAGCCGCAGCTGCTGCTCTACCAGGAACCCCATTCGCGACTCTGCTGCGTCCGGGTCGGGCTGCGTGTCCCAGTTGTCCTCCAAATCCTTAAGCGCCATGTGGACGGCCAGCTCCTCGTCAGCAAAGCGCAACTCCGCCTGCAGCACCAGCTTGAAGTGGAAATGCGGGACGATGTCTTTGAAATAAGTTCTTTGAGAAACTTGGAGAATTTGGAGATTTGGAGGATCTTCAACGTGACAGAAAAAGGATTGGCCAGGATTTTTACCAGACTGTCGACAGCTTCTGAATCTTCCGGGGAGATCCGGGGTGGATAAAGTTCTTGTAAGGTTTCTAGCCTCTAGCATTGTGAGGAATATGAGGAAGAATAGAGGTGTTGTCCATAAAGTTAATCCTAGACCCAAACCCCAAATCCACATTTCCTTAACCCTAAACCATCCTAAACCTAAAACATCCTAAAACCTGTCAAATAATACTTTGCCATTGCCCCGGAGTGTTTTGGGAGGGAACCCAAGAAAATATGCTGCCTGCGTTGCCTGCCCCTGGGCGCAGCCCCTTCAATACCCACACCACGGAACTCACGCAAAGCCATGCAGCCGAAGCACGCTAAAGCACGCTAAAGCACGCTAAAGCAGCCAAGCTGCGGCCGCGCGCTCGCGCTCGCAGAGTTCGTCGAGTTTCCACGCCGGCGACCAATGGTTGAGGGACCCGCTGGCTAGCGTAGCTGGCGTGTAGTTCGCATTAGAGATGACCACCGCCCAACCCTGCTTACTGTCCTTCTGGAGAACAGCCTGTCCAGGCAAGCACCGCTCAAGCAGCTCGGTGTGGCTCTGCACCGTGAAGCCATCACGGTCATCCGTCAGCAGCGTCAACGCCTGCACAGGCACTGTCACAGGCAGCGCGCCGCAGGGGGGTAAGATGCTATAAGATGCTATAAGATATTGCAAGCATGTACAGGCAGTGGCTCGGCTACGGGCAACGCAGCCGCCGTGAAAGCATGTGAAAGCTGTGCTACACAGTATAATAACCCCCCACATCCTTTTCAAATCCTCTCCGACCCAGGGTTTTTTATCAGAAACTTCAAATATCTTCAAACCATCTCGTCCTCAAGCCCTGTGAGAGGATGAGGAGCCAAAAGGATTCCAACAAGACAGCCCGTCCTTTCCGCTAGACTCGGTAGCCAAGATGACGTCAATGAGGTCCAGCCACTTCCCGGAGGTTGCAACACCCTGAGCATGCTGCGCCTCGGGTCAGAAAATCATAGAAAATCTGATCTAAGGATATCTAAGGAAATGTCAGGCACACTGTGGCTCCAGAAGGATCCAGAAGGCTCACTATGCTTTTCAACGCCCAGTCTTCATCAGGCGGGCAGCCATGCGCTGCACCAATCCACCATCATGGTCTGGGCAACCTGGGCCACAGAGGCATATTGAATATATTTGAGATTATTTGAGTATGACATAGTATGACATGTCTGACAGACAGTGGGCCGCGCAAGAACGCAGGCCCCTGCCTGCTGATTCCGTCTTGATGCGCTTGGACTCCTTGGAGCCGCAGAGCGCACCTGCCCAAACGATCCGAGAAGGATGCAAGGATGTGCAAGGGTTACAAAACGATGGGTGTCTCATGGTTAAGTAATGTTATAAATACCTGGGCAACCCTGGGGCTTACCTGCAGTGAGGCCTGGACCTAGCGGCTG